GTGTGGTATAACCCCACTTATGTAACATTCTAGAAAAAAAAAAAAAAAAAAAAAAAAAAAAAAAAAAAAAAAAAAAAAAAAATGTGGGGAGACAGTAAGTTCAACTAGACAAAGGACACAGAATCTTTGGAGCAATAAAAATGTTCTATATCTTAATAGGAGTAAAAATTAAATAGTTAAGGGGGCCTGTCGGTTAGCTCAGTTGTTCAAGCGCCTGCTCATGCAAACGCAGTCAGGTGCAGGATACCGAGGTTCAAACCCCACCTCCACCTGCCTTACCAGACCCGTCCTTTAGACAGGCTGAGCCAGAGCCACCCCCCCCCCAAAAAAAAATTCCTTCTCAACATCCTGGCCGGCCAAATAGCTCAGAATATTAAAGTGCCTTCTTAGGCAGACGCAGGGAATCTGATTCCTGGGGCCTGCCGTGTTGCCCCCGCCACCAGGGAGCACCGAGGCTTCCATTGAGACTGACTGTGGAGGCGTGTACCTGTAACCCCGGCACTTGGTGGCTGTAAACAGGAGGATCACTACGAGTCCAATCTATGCAGTGAGACCCTGTAGACCCTGTCCTAAATTTTTTAAAAAAGCTCCTAAAAGGTAAAAGATACTTCCAAAAAGAAAAAACAAACAAGTAAAATTTTTGAACTAATTCTATTTCCCTAGTGCCACAGTTAGAGGAAAAAAGAACGAGAATTTCATGTTTACTTCCCCCAAATAACACACTGTGCTTGCTCTTCTACTTAACAAAAGCATGTTTATCACATACATAAAATAACTCTCGGGAAGGGGAGATACACATGTTGGTAAGAAAAAGGAGGAGTAAATGCCTTAAAAAACAAAACCAGTATAAAATTGAGTCTCTGAGTTCACTGACCTAGAAACTGCCCGATTCAAACTGCGTGTGTCAGGCAGGACACTATCACTCTTCACTCACTATACACTGATTTCAACAGTAGCATAGCAGAGGAGGCCCAGCAGTCATGATTAATGAGTCTAATTTAAAAAAATGGATGGAAAGGGAAGAAAATTTGGAATAAACAAAAACAAAGATGACCAAGTAGAAGCCCAGAGCTAAATGCAAAATAAAATAAAAGTAGGGGAGACGGCTCAGTGGAATAAGCGCTTCCCTGGCAAGTGCAAGCAAGGTCCTGAGTTCAATCCCCGGTTCCACAAAACAAAACAAAAAAAAAACCCCAGCAGGGGTGGTACTTTGAAAATAAAATAAAAGTATATTAAATTAGTATATAGGCTTCAAGGATATAAATATTAAAAGCATCTCATCTAAATAGCGGAAATGCAAAGAATGAGCTGTATGTTTACACCCCACATCTACACCACTTCTACACTTGCATGCACCGAGCCCCAAATGGTAGCGCCATGCTAATTCAAGAAGGTACAGAGACTTTTTGAACTCAAGCTCTTGAAAACTACAGAGCTACTTTCTGGTCACATTAAATATTTATGAAACATTATTAAAAACGTAATCCTTATGGTTTAATTAACTCTAGTTATCTGAAAGAATGTTTTACAAAATAAATACTATACTAACTTCTGATAAGAAAAAGAATATCTGTAATATTTTCTTACCACTTTTGCAACACAGGGTGCATCACTGCCAACCGATTTTGAAGAATTTGTATCAGCTGTTTAAAAAGTGAAACAGCATATCAGAATGAGTAACATTATAAACATTACAGTAATATTTACATTGTTACATCTGTAGCCCCTTAACAGAATAAATTTCAATTCCCAAGTATGTGTTTCAGCATACCATTACAGAGTATTTCATCAATTTTAAGGCCTCTACCTATGTGAAACAGGAATGCATCTTACATTTTCTGGTTTCTTCAAATTGATCATCAATTACCCACAGGAAATCCCAAGTTAGATAGAGTTAAATATTTAACAAAAAAGTATTCATGGTGTTTAACAACCTGATCCATACTGTGAATTTCCCAGAGGAGGATAACTGACGCAATTTCCTAAATTTAACAAACTATGAAATCCTATTAAGAAAACATCTGGAAGGTAAGAAAAAGGAAGCTCAAGTTCCAAAACACATTAGTTTGGCAAAAAGACTCCTCATCGTCAATACCACAGGACTTTTGCATTAGAACTTTAAACGGCCATTCAGAACACTTTTAATGCTGATGTCTTACTTCATTCAAGTGAAGAGGCACTGTAGCTCTGGAATTAAGGACTCTAGGGCTGCCCATATGCACTAACTAGTATTTACCAAACAGCCACAAATGCCAGTTTCTTAGGAAACCGGGATTTAGTAGTGGACAGGAAAAGACAATCCTATAAAATGATTGGTTGAGTGGAAACACAGATGACAAACCAGACACAAGATACATCTGAAGGTGAGTAAGTGCAATGGAGGGACAGGTCGGCAGGAGAGGAAGGCGCCAGCATATCAGTGCAGGAGGAAACCCAGCAGCAACCTCCGGACAGTAAGAGAATACGCCAGGGAGAACAGAAAAGGGTGCTCTGGGGACTGCGCGAAGGCCCTGAAGTGGAAACGGGCCGGACACATGTGGAAGGACAGCAGGCCAAAGTACTGAGGGGAGAAAAACTGAAGTGAACAGTGTCAGCAGCAGGGAACAAGCAAGAGGGACCTGACAGGGGACCTCAAAAGTCTGGTTTTTACTAAAATGGGGGTGGAGGGACCTCCAGAAGGCTTTGAGAGAAATGACAAGACCAGACCTTGATTTTCAAAAGCTTCTTTGGGCATCTTTTGGAGAACAGCATACAGGAGCCAAGGACAGAAGCAGGCAGACCAGCGAGGAGCCCTAACAGTACCCAAGTGAAAGTCAATGGTGGCCTGAGCCAGCATGGCAGCAGACAGGCAGGTGGACTGTGGCCGCTTACACACAAAGGAGAGTCAGCAGGATCCCTGATGGATCAGAGGGACGGACGGGTCTGAGGTAAAGGCAAAAGGAGGTGTGGATGCTTTCCAGCTTTTGACCTAAGCAGCTACCACTTACTAAAGTTCTTGGAGAACTCCAAGAGTATCTAGCACTTGGGGTATCTTAAATTTGAGAAGCTTATTAAACATTCAAGTTTAGGAGTAAAGTAGGCAGGTGGATATACAAGTCTTAAGTTCATAAGAGCAATCCAAGTTAAGAAAATGTAGTGCAAGGGGGGCTAGCGGGTTAGCTCAGTTGTCTAAAGCACCTTTTTGAGCAAAATCAGTCAGCAACAAGGGACTGCGGTTCAATCCCCAGCACCCTATGCTGCACCAGCCCCGTCCTTAAGGCAGCCTGAGCCAGCCAAAAAAGAATGCTTCTCAAATTTTGGGTCAGCCTGATAGCTCAGCAGACTAAAGCACCTGCTTCAGTAGAGTGCAGTAGCCGGGATTCGATCCTTAACATGCCATGCCAGCCCTGCTCCCGGGGTGTGCTCAGACTGCAATTGAGACTGGGCATGGTGGTGTGCATGCCCTGTAAGCCTAGCACCCGGGAGGCTAGAACAGGAGAATCACTACAGAGTCCGATCTATGTAGTGCAACCCTATAGACCCTGTTGACTCTGTCCTAAATACAGAAAATAATAATAACAATAATAATAAATGTAGTTCAGGCCATCAACACAGAAATGCTATTTACTCAAAGCCCCAAGACTAAAGAGATCCCTTAGGAAATGGGTGGAGACAGAAAAGAAAAATCTAGGACTGAGCCCTAAGGCTCTCTCACATTAGAAGCCAAAGAGATGTAGCAGGAAGGTGATGGAACCAGGACACCACCAGTCGACTGGGAAGCAGAAGGGCTACCATTACGTACCTTAGACAGGGCAGAACCCCACTCATGAAAATGACCAGTGTGGGCAGACAAGGAGGGCTACGCTGCTTGAGCAACAGGCCCAGGAACACTGCTTAGATACTAAATAAGGAAGAAAGTAGGCTGATTTGTAAACAAAATATGAAAATGAAGATAGCATCCCAATATGGCAAAATGAGGAAAAAGATGGAAAGAAGTTAAAAAAAACTCCTTGAAACAATATGTGGTGCAAAATATACCATGTACAAAGAAAACAAGAGGCAATGTCCCATTGTCAATTTATTCTGCAATTAAGAAAAGCAATCTCAATGCAGCATGGGAAGAATTCTGAAAGAGTAACCTCAAGGACAGTACATTCCTACATACCCACCCTGAAAGCTTTGGGGAAAACAGCAGCAGCAGGTCATAGGAAATCAAGAGCTCAAGAAGCATCGGCACCGACAAGTTCACAGAAGCACTGCATAGCATTGTCAAGATAGAGACAATTTAAATGTCCATCAAAAAGAGGATGAGTTCTTCCCTGATGTGCAAACTCATTAGATTCTACAGTATTTTGTATAGAAACTATAATACAGATCTTGACGGCTGCTCCTGGTTGAGGGCTATCCGTACCTAAGGCAGAAAGATGGTGGCCACAAAGAAGACGAAAAAATCTCTGGAGTCCATCAACTCCAGGCTCCAACTTGTTATGAAAAGTGGAAAATACGTGCTGGGGTACAAGCAGATGTTGAAGATGATCAGACAGGGCAAAGCGAAATTGGTCATCCTTGCCAACAACTGCCCAGCCTTGAGGAAATCTGAAATAGAGTACTAAACCACATTGGCCAAAACTGGTGTCCACCACTACAGCAGCAATAATATCAAACTGGGCACAGCATGTGGAAAATACTACAGAGTGTGCACACTTGCAACCATTGATCCAAGTGATTATGATATCATTATAAGGCTGCCAGAACAAACCAGAGAAAAATAAACCAAGCAGAATTTTTCATCAATAAAACCTGCCTGAGCTTGAAAAAAAATTATAATACAAAAATATAATAAAGCTTAATTTTTTCAAAGGTTTAACATAAGAACATTATACAACAGCCTACCCACAATTGTATTTATTTTAACTATATGTTGAAATGGCTTATGCTAGACTTTTTTAAAAACATCACATAAAGATCAAGAGGCAAATTGGTCAAGCAATGGCCGTGACTCATCCTCATGTCAAACACTGACAAAAGGATGTACAAAGGGCAGTACAGGGCTACAGGATAAATCCTGAGAGTACTTGGCTGACCCTATCAGATACAAAAGTTACACTTCTTGTTATATAGGTCTTGCTATATCTTGGTTTTAACCATCCAGCAGAAAAGTATAAAAACGAGGTACAGTGTTAATTATTGAAACTGTCCTACCAATTTGGTTTGAAACTGTCTCATTGCTATTTGTTTCTCAATAAAATTATGGGAAAAAAAATTCAGAATAAAAATAACCCCAGGAAGTAAAAAATAAATAATTTATACATAAAAAAACAAGGTATATAAAGGAAATCCATATTAATACGATGAGCTGTAAAAGGCTCAAGTCAATAACTTCTGAGGATAACCCACTAATATTATAGACTGCTAGACACTGTTAGATTGTTTAGTTGAATTCAAATACCTATAATATTTAGATGCCAACAGAATATTTACCTCTGACAGGACAAAAAAAAAAAAGGATACAAAGGAAAGATCACTTTGTATTTATATGTACAAAACAGGATAAATTTACAGCTACTTTCGCTTAATTCAATGAGAAGAAAGAAGTGTACTAACAGTGTTTGGACAGAATATCCTGTCTGCTTCTTGTACTATGGATAACCACTAAGAAGATAGTAATGTACAATGTATTGATTATTAAGAAAAAAAAAAAGATCAAGAGGCAAAAGACAGCAAGATGGCTGATGGCTGATGGCTGAAGCAGACTTTGAGGTAAAAAGGATGAAAACAGAGTTGTGCGCAAAGGGTCTTGTAAAGAAGAGCTCCTGCCAACTTCTTAGAATTTCATTTCTGCAAGGGTGCTGGGGACCAGGAAAGCGTTAGCCAGGACAGGCATGTGATCTGACCGCAGGTTGGGCCCCGCAAGTGCAGTGCCAGTAAGGACACCTGAGGGCAAGAACTGGGCAGAGGAGTCACTACTGCAGCACAAGAGGCGCGGTAAGGACCTGGCCCGGGAACAGGGTGGCACAGATGGAGAGAAACAGATGCATGTGGAAGTCACACAGGGAAAGCAACGGGACCAGAAGAGGCACTGGAGAACATTCAAGAACACCTTCCCAGTTCCATGCACTCAGATAATCCTCTCCTAATCACGATGGGATTCAGCAGTGAAAGTCAATACACATGCCAGGCGTGACTGTGGGACAACCTAGTAGAGCTGTAAGCCACTGGCCGTGGACCCAGGCCTGAAGATCAGCCCTAGGTTGAAGATAAAAAAGCATGGAAATCAACAATAAAGTATGGTAACAGAAGCACAAGACCTGATGAGATGCCCGGAACACAGAGCAGAAGAGAGCCAAGGAAGGAAGAACGCAGAAGGAGCCAGCAGCAGTACAGGGAAGCGGTGTGACGGAGACAATGGATGTGATTCACAGGGGAAAGATTAAGTGCTAGTACTTCAGAAAAGAACCCTAAGAAAATTCAAAGGCAATCTCTGCAAGCCATAACAGAGACTGTCGATGATTTCAGAGATGACAGAGTCCACGTATCAGTGCTCACACAGAGACAGATGGAAAGCAGCAAGATTCAAGTGCATCCCCCCTTCCCCAGGTTGACCAACGCAGGGCCACAGAGTGAAGTTTTATTATACACAACTGCCAAGTCACTGAATATTAAAAATAATTCTTAGCATGTTTTAATAGTAGTGCAAGTAAAATGGCAAATACACTTGCGAAACAAGTTCCAAATCTGCAAGATGTTACAAAAGTAAACTGATGCAAAATGAAGGTCTTCTGGTCACAGCCAAGTTCCCTTCATCATGTCTTAAGTCCAGAGTACATCCTGCAATAGAGACAACTTCTACAATATCCCACTTCCTCGAAGTTGCAGGTCAAAAACCACCCAGCAAATACAATTTTCAACATACACCTTAGACTACTGGAATGGGTTTGGTCCTACATACAACAAATATGCAATTATCAAAGGCAAGCGCCACCTGCACACAGGATCATATACATAAAGACAGAAGAAAGCTCTAAACTATGCTTTTGGTTTTGTGTCTGTGTGTTGAACTATATCCCTGTCCCTTTTTATTTAGTGAGACAAACGCTCACTAAGTAGCTAAATTGCCCAGGCTGGACTCACACTTGAGATCCTCCAGCCTTAGCCTCCTAGAGTGCTAAGATTACAGATGTGTTCTACCTGCTTGGCTAGACTGTTTTAGATTAGACAGTGAAGACAGTGATAATGCATTTAGTGAGGATAGGCCCAGAGATTGCAGCTGTCTGGCCACAGCCCACTGGATATGGAAGTTAGTGCTACTCTTTAATCTGTGCCACTGACTCTCAAACTTCCACACCAACAATACTACTTCAAATGTTGTGGGGCCCTCTCCCTAGCTTCTGACACACACGTCTGGTGTGGAGACCCAAGTATTTGCATTTCTAAGGAATTTGCAGGTGATGCTAAGCCGTGCTGCAGTATTAGTACTCTAAGATACTGCTTGAAAGATAAGAGTCCAACTACTAAAACTAAAATTGTATAAATGTCCACAGCACAAATAACCAAATAGTTAGCTAATTAAATTAAGATTAGAGGTGAAGTGAGAACACAGAATTTAGAAAGAAAGTATCAAAAGCAAATGGCAAAGTATTCCAAATATTCTTGATTAAGTAGACAGCTTTACGAGCAATCAGATAAAATATTTTTTTTTAAATCAGTAATTTAGTTAAAGCTACAGAACTGCAGACTCCTGCATGGGTCTCAAAAAAAAATAATTTTTTTAAATGAATTTAGGACAGGGTGTACAGGGTCTCACTAAATAGATCGGAATCATAGTGATTCCCGTTTTTAGCCTCCCAAACTCTGAGATTACAGGCGTGCACCACCATGCCCAGTCTCAATCGCCATCTCAGCACACCCTGGGAGGGGGGCTGGCACTGCACGCTGGGGTTTGAACCCCAGCCACTGCGCTCTGCTGAAGCAAGTGCTTTAGACCACTGAGCTATCAGGCCAGCCTCCAAAAAAATTAAGGTAAGTGTATTATTTAATGATAATTTGACTAGGCCTAATATACTTTCTAGGTTATTCTCCTAATCCTAATGACTGCGAAAGTTGTAGAGAAAGAAAAAAATTCACATCTGTAAAAAGTCTGTAAAACTACCCCAAACAGTGGGATTAAATTATAATTGGGCAAAGAAAGGAAGATACCCAGGGCTTCTTGAGTCTCAAAAAAATACTAAGATTATATAGAATCTTAAAAATCTAAAGTCATAGTGCTCACCTAACATTGCTAGATATTTTGTCCTCCTTTTCTATTATGATCAAGTAAGTAGTCTGCTCTTTTACTCCTATCAGAGATGCATTTTTGCCTAATCAAACAAGATTGACCACAGATTATTAGGAACACCCAACAGTAGCACAAAAATGAAAAATTTTTAAAAGATGTAAAAATTCTTTGGATCAGGGACTAGAAGTAGTCATATACTTACCAAGATATATACAGCCAAAGCCGCCTTGGCCAACAGGTGATCCTAGCTTCCATTCCTTTTTTGACAGGTCAGTTATTATCTCCCCAGCTGCAAAGTGTTCCGCAAGATGTCTCTTTGCAGGGGCCCGTCTTCTAGCTTGAGCTGCTTTTACACGAGGCATTTTCACTATAACACAGAACAAAGCAACATGTATACTCTTAAGTGTTCAAAACATGTTCCCTAAGCAAAGTGTCTATGTGACAGAGCCTGGTCAAATTCCTACCTACTCCAAAACCTAAGTAAACAACCTCTATTAATCCAGATTTATAAAGGCTCAAGTCACATTTGATCATTCAGCTTTGGAACTGAGACAACAACAACAACAAAAAATGATCTATGCAATCACTTTCAATAAAATAATTAGTTTTTAGTTCCAGTGGCACATCACTAGTGACTAAAATGCTACTTAATAATTTTAAAAAGTGTTACTATTGAGGGAAAAGGAGCCCACAATTACAACGCACACATTACAGTAATATAAAACGCATTTACAAGGACAATACTGACATGGTAAGAAGAAAAATACAATACAAAGGAAAAGGCCAGGGGTACCTGGGGCACAAAAATAGATGCTTTGCTTGAGTTCCCACTCGTCCTCAGGACCATGTGAAGTCTGCATGACTATCTCCATTTAAAATAACAAGGAACTGGGCTGGGGAGATAGCTTAGTAGACTAAGCACTTGCCTGGCAAGTGCAAGCAAGGTCCTGAGTTCAATCCCCGGTACCACAAATTAATTAATTAATTAATTAAAATAACAAGGAACTCAAGCCTCAGCAAGCAAGCTATAAGATGAAAGATCAGAATTTGCACAGGCTACATGGTTCCAAAGTCTCACCAACATTCTCCATCACTCTAGGAATCACCTTTCTGAGAGACAAGGAAAAACTGTATCTGTCTAGTGATTTGGGTTCACAGAAAAAAGCAAAGCTGTGGTTCACAGCTCCCTGCTTCCTGCTCACTCGCAATCCTCTAAGAGCAGACCCTCAATTCCCTCTTCTCACCAGTACAGAAGGTTAGCAAAATATTCAGAGAACGCAGTGTTGGGGGTGCTGAAATGGGATCAAAAGACCCATACTACATTAGGATGGAAAGTTCTACCAAACCCACACCCTCACTCTACAACAGGAACTGCATTCCGGCAAATAAACACTCCTCATTCATTCCATTTATGATACCAGTTAGCTTGCCAATCTTATCAAGTAACTTCTCTCCTAGCTTCAAAAGCCCTCGGTGTAGCTCTTTCTTGTGTAAAGAACTCAGTTAATATTTATGCATGTGCGTACATGGATGTGAATGTGTTGTACAACTTCAAACACTCAGATCCATAAATGCTAACAGAAAAGGATTTACCCAATATTCCACAGTTCCCCAAAAATGAAGCTAACATACAGCAAAGACAGGAGAGTGATAAGAATTAAATTAGTCTGCAATTCTTGAAATGGTTATTTAAATGAAAAAGTCTGTAGGATGTGACATAAATTTACATTATACAAGTAGTTCAGTCTCGAGCCCAGATATACTAAATATATAGATACTATATTAGATTGGAAATTTTTAGCAAATACCCAGTTTCTCTATAACATAAATTTCATACATGCAAATAAATGTTCTTTATTCATTTAATGGGAATTTTTTTATTTTTTTCCTAAAGAATATAAAATGCATCTCTCCTCTCTAAATCTTCTTAGATAACAAAAACATCTCCAAGTACAAAAATGTACGACTATTTCTTCACATCAATTTATTCTCATAATTACTGTACTTTCAATCCTTGGTGGAATTTTCCTGAGTCAAATTGTAGTGCCAAGAATGACAGCCTACCCTCAGAACACCAAAAAAAGGGAACTCGCAAACCTGTGGCAGCATACCAGCTAAAAGTAACAACTAAAACTTCCAACTTTATCAAGTCACCAGAGTAATCTCCCACTGGATTATTTCCTAATAGTAGCCAAAACATTTTAAAATAAATCAAAATTTTTTGTCACCCAAGGTAGTGACCAGACACTCTTTTACATTTTTCTGGAATTCTTTTCCAGAAGTAACAAATACATTTTATCTTACGACCATAACGCTAAGTGAAATAAGTCTGGCACATGTTGTGTGGTTTTCCTTACATGAGAAGCAGAAGTATAAAGAACAAAGTAAAAGACAAATAATAGGAGAGAGGGAGACAGAGCTTTTGCCAAAGGCAAGGGGACCCAGAAAAGGAGGGAGAGGGAAGGAAAGGGAGGGAGGTGGAGGGAACATAAAGCAAAGGATCAGACGTGCTGTGTTCATGGACCAACTCCCCACAATGAATGCAGTTACTATACTACAAACATGGTCTAATAAAAAATGAAATTTTTCTTAATAATTTGGCTCAGCACCTATTCAATATAAAACTGTGGTCAAGAGTGTTTTTCCTGCAAACAAAACTGTTTGCTTTTATTTTTAGCTTTATTCCAATGTCCAACTAAATGAAACTAATTGTAATAATTAATTAAGACTTGGAGCGCCTTTCTTTCCTAAAAATAGCCCCCTAGAACAGCATCATCACAGTCAGCCTACTGAATCCCTATAAACCCTGCTCCCGGAGTTTACGCACAGTAACACAGCACAGTAACACAGTAGGGGCAGCAGCACAGAGTTTAATTTCCCTAAATCCCAGCCCCAAAACCAGAGAAATCCAAAGAAGCATCCCCTGTAAAATATCTACAGTAAAACCAGGGACAGCACCCTCTTTCCCCACAAGCCCCAAAATCTGAGTAGGTAAAGGCAAACCAGGCTTAATGTGCAAAACTGGCCAGCCTAGTGTGGGCCAGACCAAGGCCTTCCAGGATGAGAAAGGGCTAGGGATGAAACTCAAAGTGAGCACCCCAGGAAAGCAGGGTCCAAAAAGGAGCCATCTATGAGCCAGCGTCCACATCTGAGACGCCAGGTACGATGAACAGGGGGGGCTTAGGTTAGAAAGCCAAGGTCCACTGGAGCCACACCAGCCAAACTACATAGAGGAAAAGGAACCTCTGCTGCCAAAAGGAATCCAGGCCAACTCCGACAGGAGGCTAAGGAAGGAAGGGCCACTACAGAAAAACAATTCCACCCCAAAAGCTACAAGATAAGAAATTTTTCAAATAGATGAAGCTAACATGAATTAGAAAACTCACTAGGTGATAGAAGATAATAATTAAAAGACAAAGTGCTAAGTATCCAGCTCGGTAGAAGAGATGTCCTTGCTAGCTATGTTCACTCCTCAGCATAAACACTCAAAGGCAAAACTATTTCAGAAACGAAGACTACATAAAAAGGAACATATACTGAATAAAATTTTAAGTAGCTTAAAAGAACTGCAAAGTGAAAGGAAAAATAAGTCAAAAGGGACAAAAGGTAACTATTTCAAGAGAAAAATCACAAATTCAGAACAGAGAAAAAGGAAAGCCCATATGTATCATATATTTCAAATATAATATACATTATATTACATGTATGTGTGTGTATATGTATATTTTATATGGGGAGCCAAACAGAAGA